ATATATATAAGATTCAGTCATGTGGCTACATGTGCATGGCTTTCAGCTGAACTTGTCTGGAGCTGACAACAGTGAACATGCACTTCATCAAGTATATTTGTTCCAGCTGATGTCTCTTTACATTAAAACAGAGACCGGCTCCCATGCTTTGGTCCAGCCCCCAACAAAACACACTGGACAAAGGAGACCCAAGCTGGTCTGCAGCCCACAGATAGCTTATAAATTGTATGCATGGAGGACAACGAGTCTTTCATCTATCCAGTAGAATTAATTGATATATAGATATAGATATATAATTCAAATCAAATAGCGCCAAAGCAAGCAGATTTATAACGTCTGTAATTAGATAATCGTTACCCTCTTTTCCTATTTACATAGCAGCCTGCATTCCAAAGCCCTGTGATCTCCAATGGGCTTCAGCCACCACGTGTCCACACATATATACGCGCACACACGTGCACACGCGCGCACGCACACACACACACACAGTGTACAAACAGCTAAAATCTAGCTATATTCTGCATACTTCTACATTCAAAGTAGATATTTTATTAGCCCAAATGTGCTCTGGAACCAGCAACCATGCACCGTGAATTATCATTTATGCATTAGTGTATATATATATATATATATATATATATATATATGACCAGAATAAGACCCGAATAAGAACAAATAATTGTATATAGACTATATCTCACATGTGGAGTCAGCCAGGCAGTTTGGATCCAAATATGACCATTAGGGCCTACTTTAAAATCCGAAACAACAAGTTTGCAGTGATATTACAAATTCACAAGCAAGTGTAAAAACTGTGCAACAAATAGGCCTACGTTTGTGTTTTCAACCATTACACTAAGTTTGGAAAATCCTCGTCTTCACTCCAATGGCTCAGGTCACCATAGAAGCCCAAAGCCAGAAAACGTCGATAGAGCAAACAGTAGCCTATATATGTTTTTCCATTTTTGAAATGTCTTCGTGTCCACGTTCTCTCCCACAACAGTGTTGCCCTCAGCACTAATGACAGAGGGACAATAAAGCATCCTGTTCCGCAGCTCACAAAAGGGGTCCGGCACTTAAAACAGAAATCTGCATTTAATTTATTTAGCGACAAGGAAATGCCTTTTATAGCTTGATCTTTATTGGTTCTTTTTCACTTAAAAGGTGGGGGTAGGGTGTGTGTGTGCGTGTGTGTGTGCGTGTGTGTGTGGATGAGTGTGCGTGTGTGCAGAGAGAGAGAGAGAAAGCATAACACAACACACACACCAGCCTTCTCTGGTCCGTGTGCCAAAACTAGCATTATACGGCGTGTGTGTGTGTGCGCGCATGTGTGTGTGGAGTGGGGGGTTTGGGGGGAAGGGGGGGGTAATTAATGCGGATTGACTGATTGCTCTTGAAACGGACCGGTCCTGCGCGTGGATTGTCCTCGAGCAATGGAGCGTTCCTGACTGACACTTTCCACCGTCGCTTCTTTTCTCCCCTGTCTTCCCTTCACACACTAGAACGGTGTGTGCCGTGAGTCTTCCTTCGCGGCGCGAGGAGTCACACATCCCGGCCGCTTTACAGCTGTCCAGCCCGGCCAGCCGAAGCAGTTTCACCCAGCTATAGAAATGCACAGCGTCCGTTTAATTAAAAATTAAATAGACGACATACAAATGATACGTAGAGTCTATTTAGATGCTTTTGAGTTATCATGCTGCACAAAACCAGATTTTTGTGCAGCATGACATGCATCAGTCCAGTGTTGCTTTCGTGAGTATGAACTCTAACCCACCTTCCCCTCATGAGGAGTTAAGTCTCTAAGGTGAATACGCAATTTCCCCGCACATTAAAAAGTGGTTGAAGTGGTTTAAAGTGGGTGCCATATCCTCCGATGCAGCCCCAGCATTAATTGAATAAACTTCTGAACATCTAAATAGGACCACAAAAAGAAGGAAAAAAGAAAAGGCATAATTCACAGTCAACGGGAAACACATTGGCGAGGCTGGTTTTTAAATGAGGTCCAAATGGAGAGTCGTCTCCACGGGAGGCCCTCCAACGCAGGGCAGCCACCCTATTCTCCCCCAGATATTTCTGATAGGCCTTTAATGATGCGAATTTCCAAACAGGGCCGTTCACCAGGGAGACGCCCCGGCTATCTAAAAGGTGGCGCAACCCCACGAGACAATAGAGCCACATTAGAGAGAAAAGCATGCGAGATGAAGCGCTGCCAAGCTTTTTATCTATACGCTATGAAAAACAAGGCTGCTCTGCGCGCTCTCGGCGTGTAAGAGAAGTCATGTTGGTGGCCTATATATCGTTCTGTGCCCCTCTCCCCCTTTGTTTGTGGCCAACGCACTGCAAATATCAACCTCAACAAACAACAACGGCACCCCCAATAACCGCTTGGAAGAAGAAGAAGACGTGATGGAGTCAGAAGTTGAGTGGACACAAAAACAACATGACCTTTTCTTCTCCGTGTGCGCCGGACAGATGCTGCTATTTCTGATCACCCCTGAAAGATACGAGCTCCGGCCTCACACCACGGGTCATGAAAAGTGAAATGCTTGGCATGAAGAATGAAACAAATGTTCTTCTCAAAACGATTTGAAAAAGGGACGTCCACTGTTAGATGACTAGCGGCACATGCCTTCAAATGAGGATGATGATGGTGCAGCCAGAAGAGGAAGATGATGATGGCGATATTGATGGTCACCAAATTAGTGGCTGTCACACAACCACTACCAGGGCTGTGCGGGTGAGATGAAAGCACCAGCATCTATTTATGGTCCATCAAAACAAGCAGGTGGAGGGCTTTAATTGTCATTTGAACATGAACAGCCTATAGCGTGTGTTTGCACTGTAAGCTCATGTAGTAGTTTGTATGAGAACTGAATCACAGCCGGCGAACTGAACCAAACTGATTGTGAAATGTTGTTATTACACTCGAAAATAATGGGATTAAATATATCGTGTGCCTGACACGTGACGGATCTATAGTGCCACCTCATTGAGTATTTTAGTCTCCCCACATTTCCATATACTTCCTCCTCTGTCAGAACGTGCGCACAATGGCGCGGTGTCCACGCACACACGCAAACTTTCATGGAAATTAAAGACGTCTTTGTTATTCTGGTTGTTCCGAGCAGTGAAGACCATAAAACACGTGCTGTTGGATTGGAAAACTCCAAAGATGTGTATGGGTCAACAGGTCAGCTGACCTTTCTGCAAATTCACCACACAACATTTTAATTTCAATTGATTGTTTCAACAAAGACTTGTTTTGCAACAAAGGCCTTAGCATGACTCATAACAGTAAAACTCATAACGTGCTTCAGTGACGCACCAGCCTAAGGAACAAAAAAAATAAAAACTTTCATCGTAAGAAAAACATGTTCAGTATGTAATCATCTTCTCCTCTTGCAGACTGTTGCTTAACTGTGTTTTTGGCCGTATTGATGGTGAGGGATTACACCTAATCAGATCACATCTGGATCATCTCTCAAAAGAAAACTCACCCAACAACAATTTCATCTTGAGTTAAGGCTGCATGTCGAAAGCAACAGCGTGTTGCTGGCTGATCACAAGAGCCAGGAAAATGTGGGACTGAACAACCTGCCGTATCTAACACCGTTTGACTTCCAAAAGAAACTAGAAATTGTGAACTATAAACAAGTCATGTGTCCAATAACCGCTGCCTGATCATGAACCAGAATGACACTTGTATGATATCACATGATATAGCTGCGAATTATAATATTTAACATGTATATGCTGTATTTATTTAGCTTCTGGGATACTTACTTAATGTGCATTGTCTCTAAAATAAAATAAACACAAACTCACAATGACTGTGTGTTTGAGCGATGAGACTAAGAAGTAAAGCAGGTGTTAACCGTATAGACCTTCCTATACAGTGGACACCGTGGCATATGTATGTTCTGCAGCTAAAGTGCCACAATGTCTACATTAAAATGTAAAGATCTCACTTGACCCCAGAGTGACTATTAACCACTAGTATTTATAAATGAGACAAGATAAAACAAAATTAAGATTTTCACCTCACTGTAAAAGCGAGGTGATTAATAAACGGTCTGTATATCTGTATATGAATGTTGTAAAGTATTCCCTTCATCAATCTCCAAATCGAGGACGTTACCTATTGTCCATATTGACACTTTTTAAAACTGAATCAGAAATCAGAAATATGAAAAGGACCCCGAAAAAGACGTGTGTCATCTCGCATGGATGGCTTTATGGCCAACGGGTTTGCCAAAAGCTTTTGATGTGTGTGTGTGCGTGTGTGTGTGTGTGTGTGTGTGTGTGTGTGTGTGTGTGTGTGTGTGCATGAGAGAGAGAAAGAGAGGCAGATCAGCAGCGACTCATTAGACAGTGTTACCGTGTAATTTAATATAACACGAGTAACCCTGACAAACTATAACACCCAACTGTGGAGCCGATCAACCAAAGAAAATTCACTTTAAATGGTTGGATCACCTTGTGTGTGTGTGTGTGTGTGTGTGTGTGTGTGTGTGTGTGTGTGTGTGTGTGTGTTCGCGCGCGCCACTTGGCACATATCTCCCCTCGAGACGGCCCAACTGATAAATTCAATGTTAAAGAAAGAGATTCAGAAACACGCATCCATCCATTCGGGTCGTATATTGTTAGTTAACAGTATAGGATTAAATATAAAAGATGTGGGCAGTGACAAGGCGACACAAAAGTTGTTGTGAGCGAAAAAAAACGTGACGCAAGTGTTCAAGTCGTAAATAAAAAGTAGCCCAAACGACATAATCAGCCCTGTCTAAATAAGCAAACAAAGAAATAAACGGATTTCTTTTTTCCTTGGGACCTTGTTGGACTTTGGAGCCATGACTCAAAATACGCATGTCATCTAAAAAACAACCTCATCAGGACTATTTACCTCTATCCCAAAAACCACGAGTTGTATTATTTTGTCAAGTCCTCGCAGAATAAATTGCAGTGAGAATGATTTAAACAGTACAAAATTCAACACCTACCTAGAAAATGACCGTCTCCATATTGCACATAATTGTAATAATTAATAAGAATTAAAAAATAAACTACCAAAAAAAAAGACTTTTTCTTCCTCTCAAAAAAAAGAATCCTGTTCCTACACGCTTCATCCAAAAGTGTGGACTTAAATAGCGCTCCGTTTCCTTATGCGTTAGTTCTCTGCTGAGTTTATCCACCGAGGGGTTTTCCCGACTACGAGCTCCGGATTCTGTGGATGTGAGTCTCCGTGAGGCTGTCTAATAGCAAATTTATGTCTGGATGACGCGTCCTCTCTCTCCCACAATGGAGCTGCAGCGCTGACATTAAACAGAAAATTGATGGAGAGACTCTCCCTTCCTCTCTTTCCCATGCTCTCTCTCTCCCTCTCTCTCTCTCTCTCTCTCGTTCGCTCTCTCTCGTCTCTTAGTAAAAGGGAGCTTTCTTGCATTTTATGTTTTGTCTTTTTTTTATCAGGGGAGGGGGCAAAGGGACATCATCAATGAGTTTCACACCCGGAATACACCCACTTCTATCGCCACCAAGAAATATATATCCTTATAGTAGGCTTCACACACATTTACGCACCAAAACACACACACCTACACACACCTTTTTCTGACAAGAGGCCTATCGTTCTTTCTGACCAAACTGCCCCCTCTCTCTACAAGCTCTATCAAAGTGAACTACGAGGTTTTGGGTAATGATTCCTCTGGCACCATGTGTTAACCTATAACCGTGATGTGGTGGAAGGCAGGCCGTGCTCGGTTTTTTATTTGCGGAATAGTTTCAGAGTCTGGCATGAAAAGGAGCAATCAGCACTTCTCTGGAAATCCAACTGATATTTGTTTGTAGCTGTTTGCCAAATGATATCCCTAATTACCATCTGGAGGTCACAGTTTACCCACCTTTTTTCTCCAAATCCACCAGCAGCTACATCAATGCCTGCTATATGTAACAGCTCTGCCCAGTTTCAGAGGCATTTTGTTTTGAGGATGACCGGTCGGCGCAACGCAAAACACGGCAGTGCACACACGGCTTCAATTGTAACAGCGCTATAAACATTTAGCACAGGCGTTAAAGAGTCCACAGCATTTGTGCGCGTTTGCGCACCCTTTGATCAAGTCCAAACGGTCCGGACAAGTTTTCTGCGTAAAAGTGGCATTTATCTCCAGTTTCTCGCTCCACGGAAAGGCTGCTTCGATGTGTCGCTCTGAAACAAAGAAATAATTGCAAACAATCGTGAATGAAAAACACAAACACACACACACACACACACACACACAGTTTCCATTCGAGGAGGCGTTTACTGAGGATACGTAGAACAACAAATGAGCCGCAGGTTGGAGATGAATGCGGAAGAAGCGAAATCTGCGAGCGGCAGCTTAGAAATAATTGCAGAAACGCGGTTGTTGCAGTCTTCCTCCCTTTCCTCTTTCCCAAACGGGACCTCAGCCTCGGCTTTCTCCCCTTCTCCCCCTGCAGCCCCCACCGGCTGGCCCCCGTGGGTCACCGCTTCAGGAGCACCACGTCACCACGTTAACCCCTGCATCACCGCGTCCACTGGGACAGAATCAGGGCCGAGAACCCAGAAGGGTTGTGTGGAGGAGAGAGGAGGGGGGGATCCCCAAAACGGGTTGCGGGGACCTCCAGGCGTCCTAAAGGGGTGGGTCCAGGGGGTCTCCTGCAAAACGAGGAGCAGGTTTCTTACAATTCATTTCAATTTGGGGGAAATTCACCAAACTAGTTTATATTAGAATAACTGCTGTAATTAGTCTGCAGGGGTTTACTGCTGTTGTTTACTCTCCATACACACCCTCCTGACAAACTACTTCAAATAATTGCCATTTAAAATCGTAATGAAATCAGAGCAACATAAAGGAAAAACTCTTACCCCCCCCCCTCATTTGTATATGAGAATGTATGTTCAGTATATAAATGGTTAAATTAGCTTGCTTGTCATTTCACATCAGCCCTTTCCAGATGTCATTCATGATTCATATCCTGATTTTCTCAACAAAGCAGCATGTGAATTATTGCAGAGGCTGCCGAAAACAGACCAAAAACGCCTAAAATAACCCAAATGGCACCAAAGTAAATACATTAATTAATGGTTTACAGTCAACCCTGGGTATGTTATGTACTTAAGTGGACTGAGTTACATGAAAACATCTCACTAGGGTGACATCAGATGTTTCCATCTATAACAACAACATGAAATATGCTTCACCAGCCCAGACAAGCGAATCCACTAAAACTAACTCACCAGAGTTCAAGCTAAGTCGTTCTATCGTGACTTTTCCAAACCATCGCTGCACTCATCACAGTGTTGAAAAATAGAAACTATTCTCACGACCAAAACAATATCCATGAATCCTTCCAGTATGCTTTTGGCTTTGCCTTTGAAAGGATTTATGGGAAGGGGAAGTGGGAGGGTCGCGGCAGACCCCACCCACTGAGGAACGTGACCTATACCTCTCTCTGTAATGGCCTACTGTTGCATTGTGGGCTTTGCAGTTATAGTCTTTATGCGAAAACCCTATTTCACATTTTCATTAAAGTCACAATAGTATCACCTTATTGCACTCGTTTTGATGCTGATTTTATAATATGTGTGTTATATAGTTATTCTTTTTATATTTATCATTTAAAGTACAACCTATTTTAATTTCGAAAAATGTAGAGACCTTTTATATGCACTTGTGAATTTTTTTATTTTCTGAGTTTATTTATAAATGTAAAAATAAAGTAGCTTCAAAGAAAGTCAAGTGTTTGTACCAAATGCCTCCCAACAACGATGATATCACCACCGCCCATTGAACACACCCAGCCTCTGTCCTATCTCATAAAGACTTATGATCAGAACTTTTTTCTGGAAAATACTCCCTCTGTTCCCTTTTTTGAATAAATTTCCTATTACTGTGGTCGGAGTGGATTCATTTGTGAGGAATACATAATGAGTGGTAGTTTGCGCAACACTTTTGTCACATTTAAACGGCTCCTTTCTGATTTCCTCACCGAATAGAATTCGTTTAACTGGAAATCCTTCACGACCTCGCCCCTTCTCTTGCAACCAAAGTTTCAGCTGTTAGAGAAACGCTCTGGCCTTAGACCCAACGCTTCGACAGTTGCCGTCCAAAAGCACTCACACGTCCCTCTATTTCAACTCAAATGCAGGACAATTCTGTTGCACTCAAATCATCGCCTGCAGCCTGAAATGCTACCCTTCACCTCCTCATTAGAACGAGCCAAAACAGGCCAGTTTACAGGTAAACCCCCGGTCGAGCCGAACCCTCTCTGCTCACACTGTGCTGGTGTTGGGTAAACACACCTCAATGAGATACTATCAGAGGTGTCAGGTGGCTTTTCGCTCCTGGATTCCTTCACATAAAGCATGGAATATAGATATGTAGCACCTGCTGGGACAAAGCCATGTCTCATGGCATTGAAACATCTTTGTTGTTTTCCATCATGTACGTCACACTGGTAGTGAGCGGGTTCATGCAGGAAACATCTGTAACATTCAAGACAAAACAGAGCAGCTGCAGAAGACTTGTCCTTGTGTGTGCTTCCGACGAGCTTTTTGGCCGATCGCGATTAACCCTGTTCAGAGCCTGCTGCACCTGTGTGTATGTGGACCCCTGATATTCGTGTGTGTGTGTGTGTGTGTGTGTGTGTGTGTGACACAGCTGCGATAGGTTAAGAATCAGACGCTAAACCTGTTTCTGGTTCCAATTTGAGGCCACAGCTCCTCTTTGGCAAATGGAAAACACTTCAATGTGCCACCGGACCTAAAGACGGTGCCTGTTTCTGCAGTTTACGTGGTCATGTGATTTTTGGCGAGCGGAGGCTGTTTGCCCCAGAGGCAAGTTCACTGTGCGCACACACACACACACACACACACCAATGCCGTTTTTGAAGTTTATAGAGGCCCAGTGACCCCATAGGTGAGCATAGCTGCATAACTGAAGCGGCCACAAAAGGGTGAGCTAAGAGAGCAAAGCATCCTGGGATATGACTTCTTGGCAAAGCAGTAAATTATTTCATCTTTGCTCTCATATTGTAATGCACATCAGTCATAAAAGCGCGTTACATCACCGGACACACAGTGGTGCCTTTCTTTTGAATCTGCCATGTAGGTTTTCATCTCTCTCCGTGAGTTATGGCGTGTATGCATATTCTATGAAGCCGCGTTAAAGCAGAGTGCAGCAAATTGACAAACAGAGACGTCTCTGAAACGTCATGCCAGGCCATTCACCCCTCCATGCCATCGTCCATCCATCCTCTTCTCTCTAAGCTTTTTTTATTGCAGCTGCTAACGCAGCAGCCAGAACCGAGACAAAGCTAGCTTTGTGGCCCCCATCTCTCCTCCGTGCTGTCTGCTGACGAGTTTACTTGTTCTCCGTGTTACCCCCTAGCCCTTGTTCCCCTTCCAATCTTTCACTAAAAACTTCTTTTCTTCCTTTTATAATCCCCCCTCCTCCTTCTCCCCACATCTGCAGCAGCGTCACGCGGCCTTGCATGGCCGGCCCCGGAGAGTCATGTGATCTCCGCTGTGGATGTTGCCCGGGAGAAGAAAAGGGAAGTGTGTGTCAGAACCCTGTTTTGGACCCAGCTGGGAGGTCAGAGGTCAACTCAACTCTGATCCAATCACTTCGAGCCACAACAGGGCCGACTCACGTTTGCTCCCGTCCTTCCCATCTTGTTGCCGTCTCCAACGCTTTCTTCTTCGCTTTTCGGCCTCTTTCGACCCAAACGCCTGAAGCTGACTGCAATTAAAAGATGCGCCGATGTAGTGAGTGAATCCACAGATCACCAGAATATCAGGCGCTTCACCACAACAGGGCCGAGAGCTGGACATGGACCGATTGAGGAATAAGCACCTCATTCTGTAAAATCACACTTATAGCATCAAAAGAGCAGAAGTGTCATGCCTTGTAAGTGTGAAATCAGGAAAGGAAGCTTTAAGGCACTCGGACGACACAGGATTTTGTTCACTATGATTTTGAGTTGAACAGATCTACAACTACAACTTCTACAACTTGAAATCAACTCGCTTGCTTTCATGGTAAAAGTAATGAAAAAACCCACAAATGGTCTAATGGTGGAATTTCCAGATTTAGATCACCATTAACAGCTAATGAAGTAAGGTCTCAACAACTATTAAGAAAAATGAACATATATCATTTCAAAACGTTTGGGTGATGTTTTAACGCAAGCTTTATGAATGCAGTAGAAGGTAACTAGCGTCCGTATCGAGGTCAGCACAGGTGCAGTTTGCTGCAACGCAACAGTAAGCTGATGCTGCCACAGGTGAAGAACCAGGAAGTATGGGCTCATTGTCCGCTGACAAAGCTCCTCCATCGACCAGAGCAGTCCTCCCGACAACAATAGCTCGTGTATACACCCTGTGTTGATCATGGGACCGAGCGGACGTGGCGATACCAGGGGCTGAAGAAGAGAGTGAAAAAGTTCAGAGGATTTACTGCGCTGATGAAAGGGAAGTGAGGGAAGAAAAAAAAAAATGGGATAGTTTATGAGTTCATGGTTATTATATTGATGATTGCTCTGAGTTTGATTAGAATTCAACCAAATGGGGTTCTCAGATAAACTTAATTGCCCTTTTGGTTTCATCGGCCCAGAGCAAATCCTTCTTCCAGATAATACGGCAACTTTTTTTTAATATGCTTAAAAATAAAAATGGGCTTAGGCGAGAGAAAACGTATGTCAAGAAACTATGCCCATCATACTGCATATCTGCTGCTTACACTGATTCCCTGCACACACACACACACACTACCACTGCACAAGTGACAGGTCTTCACCACCTTTCTTCTCCAATATCGTCCCCGCGTCCATAAAGGCAGATTTGTTTATGTGGCATGTTGTGGAGGACCTTACACGAAGCAGATGCATTAAATCATCCATCTTCCTTGGATGAAATTATTCCACCTCTCCCACAGCCTCCCCCTCTCCTCTTCCCCAGCCGGCTGTCGTCATCTCCAGCAACAAGTGGCCTCTTCCCCAGATGAATTTTTACATCCGTGGTATTGCAGTCTGCTCCTGACACAAAGCAAACGGGGGCGTTTCATTGATTGTGCTCAGGGGTGACAGGTATACATGGAGGAAGTGGGTTTATTGTTCGCAGTGAAAACACAACAAGTGCATGCGCCACACACTTGCGCCTCAATACACAACGCAGCTATACTTTGAGGCTTTCCATCTCGCTTTCCTCCCCCTTCTCCTCTTGATCAACCGGAGTGAGCTGGGCTGCTCAAATAAAATTTTAGTGCCGTGGTAATGTTGCGGAGCAGCATGGCGCCACAGCTAATGGGGGATCATATCTACATCCCCCGTTCCCGCACCCCAGCTCCACGTTAAACCGCAGCGTCTGTCATCGTCTTGTGCACTCGGCACGGGACACAACGGGACTAAAAGTTCAAATGTCTGCACATAAAATGAAAATAGAATTACAACAATGTGATGTTTCTGCGTCACAGAGGTCATTAAGGAAGGTGGGAAAAGAGGATTTCTTCTACTGTAGTGGAGGAGAGGTTGGTCACAGTGGTTTGTGAAAATCCCAGAGTGGAGCTTGATTTGGTTTTAGAAGCGCTCCATCAGGAGACAGGAAATGCAAAAATTACACAAATGAAATCACTGTTGTTAATCAACGTACAACTGCAGCAACTTACATTTCTCGGTGCTAATTAACTGCTCAGATGAATATGATGCACGTATTGTGTAAATATTCTTCAGACAAGTCAAAATGTTTTATCAAATCAGAGGCCTGTCAGCAATAGAGTGTGTGTGTGTATGTGTGTGTACATCATGTGAGCGCACCATTATTAGGCCTTTCTGGGGAGTTATCCATTAATTTGGGGTTAAAGTCCATTTGCATCTAGACAAAAGGGACATGGGCCATCCATCTCCAGGCTGAGGGGAAAGGGGGTAACAGAGGGAGGGGGGGGGGGTTGCAGGCGTGTGTGCATGTGTGTGTGTGTGCACGATCATGTCTGTGCATGTGTG